GAGTGTTGCCGTCACGGGAGCATTTATTCCCTCATTCGTATTTCTCTATTTTACACTGATTTCTTTTCAAATAGATAGATTTTTTTTTCAAATTTTTCACATTTTCTGATAGATAGATAGATAATGTGTGTGTGTATATTTTGTAGTTTATTTATTAGTTGTTAAAAAAATTATATGCTTAAATTTAATTGTTGCATTACAGCAATTTGATCTCAGTTGATGATTTTAAATAATGATTCCATCGACGCTTAAGTGATCATTTTCAAGTTTACTGAGCTTACGGTGGTGTGAGCGGTCAAGGCCCTTGGAAACCCGCTAATACATGCTAATGATAACAATGCATGTTATCATTTGACACAAAAACAGAGTCAATGATATCATGACACAAAAACAGAGTCAATGATATCATGACACAAAAACAGTGTCAATGATATCATGACACAAAAACAGAGTCAATGATATCATGACACAAAAACAGTGTCAATGATATCATGACACAAAAACAGTGTCAATGATATCATGACACAAAAACAGTGTCAATGATATCATGACACAAAAACAGTGTCAATGATATCATGACACAAAAACAGTGTCAATGATATCATGACACAAAAACAGTGTCAATGATATCATGACACAAAAACAGTGTCAATGATATCATGACACAAAAACAGAGTCAATGATATCATGACACAAAAACAGTGTCAATGATATCATGACACAAAAACAGAGTCAATGATATCATGACACAAAAACAGTGTCAATGATATCATGACACAAAAACAGTGTCAATGATATCATGACACAAAAACAGAGTCAATGATATCATGACACAAAAACAGAGTCAATGATATCATGACACAAAAATCAGGCAATACATATTCCGAGATCTTTAACTTATTGCCATTAATTTTAGTTAGCGTCTGTGTGTTTACGAGACTAAATGTTCGCGGGTGAGCAAGTGGGTGGAACCAACGTACCCTTTTTAAACGTTACGCGGTCACTTTTATGTAACGTTTTGTAAACGTTATGTACAAACGTTTTAAAAATGTTGTGGTTACTGTTCTTGTTGGATTGTACCTGTGTTGGTGGGGGATTGAACTTTAACTCTTGGGTTCTTACAAAAGTTAAGGAAGTACCTAAGCAACAGGAGACAGAGAGTCAGAGTGAAAGTTAGAGTCATCTCAGAGGAGAGACACAAACAACTGAGCCTCACAGGGAATAAGATGTAATTTTACCAATCATTTTCACGCACCAAATGGTGGGACCAATAGCGACTATGGCAACATGGGAATATAATATGGACTCTTGTACCCAAAATAAGTTACTTTTTTTGCACTACATGTGTGTAACTAAAGACATTAAAAACTTACAAGAAACTAACATAACTTCTTCTAAACCCTAATATAAATAATCCTAGGCCTAATATAGGCATATTAAGGGATAATATAGTACATATATGTACTATACAAGGTGTAGGAAATGTTAGGCTTTTATGTTCTTATTCAGGTCCTCCACACAATACAAAATCAATACTTTTAGGAGCCCATAATTAAAATTTTAGACATAATCTACACAGTCGTCATATGTATATTAATTTTTTGAGACTACGTTTAAAAGGTCAATGTTTGCTGAAGTGATAATTGTATAAATGATAAATTCAGAGAAAGCATTCCGGGAAACGAGAAACAAAGTGGGTAGACTAAAAGAATAGACTAATGAGTGGCTACTAAAGATCAACTCACGCCAGTGCAAAGTAATGAGGATGGGTGCGAGGGGACACGAGGCGTACTCAAGGTTGATCAACTTGTGAACAAGTATATATAGCCCGAATCTCGACGTAATAAACACCTGCCATTGACCGAACACACAGAACCGTTATGTACCGTACATTGAACACCTGAAACAAACACCTGCCATCGACCAAACACATGAAAGTGGCCCCTGCCATCGACCAAAAGTCGATCATGTCGACTTTCAACGACATGAAAGAACACGGCAACATAGAGTTGAGTGGTAGAGGTCACATAATAGACCATTGTACAGCCTCGTTCACAACACCTTTGTCACTTCCCACCCCCAGAGTGTGTCGACCCCCTCTCGTCACCCCTCACACTCACTCACACACACACACACACACACACACACACACACACACACACACACACACACACACACACACACACACACACACACACACACACACACACACACACACCATAACAACAGTGTTTTCTGGGGGAATGGGCAGACCATATGCTCTCTCTCTCTCTCTCTCTCTCTCTCTCTCTCTCTCTCTCTCTCTCTCTCTCTCTCTCTCTCTCTCTCTCTCTCTCTCTCTCTCTCACTTCACTTTGAGAATAACAGCTTTGTATGAGTTTGATGAGTGCACAGCAGAGGAGGAGCACTAATATATGAGTGAAGAGTCTGACCAGCTTGACGGGATCGCTCGTATATTAGTTATAAGGGTCTGTTAAGCTTAACATGATAACCTGTTTGGTGATATCCTCAAGTGGGGGACCATGAGCTACAGCACGCACGGCATAACACCATTGGAGGAGAAGAGTGAGGGAGAGCGGGCTAGGGATGAAGGGACAGATGAGGGGAAGTGGAGGAAAGGAGGGAGGGAAGCAGTGTTGGAGAAAGGATAGAGAGGAATGGAGGAGAGAAGGTTAGGTTAGGTTAGGTTAGGTTAGGTTAGGTTAGGTTAGGTTAGTACTATAATTATCACCCCATGAACCACCACTCAACTACCACCACCACTACCGCCACTACCACCAACAACCACAACCACCCACCTTCCCCCCCCGGAGCCCCCATACAACACACTATTCACTATAAGCTTATCGCTATCACCGGAGATAAGAAAATTAATATTATCCACCGTGGGAGGCGCAGGACAGGTTCCACCGTTACCATCTAATGTTGTGGACGTGGGAGATCTCCCATGCAATTACTGAGAAGGAGAGACCTGTCACCCGCTCATCTTGGCCTGATTACCTCAATCTCCACCACTTGCACGATATATATTTATATATATATATATATATATATATATATATATATATATATATATATATATATATATATATATATATATATATATATATATATATATATATATATATATATGCAGAATAACCACATATGAAAAATAGAAAATGCTTAACGCGTTTTCGGCTAATTCGCCTTCATCAGAGCAAAGTAGAATCATTCTACTTTGCTCTGATGAAGGCGAATTAGCCGAAAACGCGTTAAGCATTTTCTATTTTTCATATGTGGTTATTCTGCATACTTGGATCAGTGTTTTTGTGATCATTGTTGCATATATATATATATATATATATATATATATATATATATATATGCAACAATGATCACAAAAACACTGATGCAAGTATGCAGAATAACCACATGTGAAAAATAGAGAATGAAATCCCGTGTCCCTGTATACTGGAGCATCGCCAAGCCGTATTCATCACCATTTTCACCATTCATCACCATTCATCACCATTCATCACCATTCACCACCACCATACACTCCTCCACAACAAGTGACTTACATACCAACAACGTTCCGTCCGTCATCTGGTCGTAAACGAAGCTGCCTTTTCCGTCAAGAGGAAACTGTACGTGAATTTCCTGGCCCGAGCCTCGGGGCGCTCCTCATTAGGATTGACTCCAGGGAAATACCAATATTTTGGGAGCCTCGGGAAAGGGGAGGCGAGTGAGAGGGGAAAGGAGTGGTGGAATAGAAGACAGGCGGGGAGAAAGGGGAGAAGAGAGAGGAAAAGGGGGAAAAGTGGGAGGGAGAGGATGTGGAATATTAGAGAGAATATTATTTGAGAATGTTCAAGGATGTGTTTAGCTATGTTTACTGGCTGTGGTGGGTACTGGAGCCTCATCCTCCAGCTCAACACCCTGGTGGTGGGTACTGGAGCCTCATCCTCCAGCACAACACCCTGGTGGTGGGTACTGGAGCCTCATCCTCCAGCTCAACACCCTGGTGGTGGGTACTGGAGCCTCATCCTCCAGCACAACACCCTGGTGGTGGGTACTGGAGCCTCATCCTCCAGCACAACACCCTGGTGGTGGGTACTGGAGCCTCATCCTCCAGCTCAACACCCTGGTGGTGGGTACTGGAGCCTCATCCTCCAGCTCAACACCCTGGTGGTGGGTACTGGAGCCTCATCCTCCAGCTCAACACCCTGGTGGTGGGTACTGGGGCCTCATCCTCCAGCTCAACACCCTGGTGGTGGGTACTGGAGCCTCATCCTCCAGCACAACACCCTGGTGGTGGGTACTGGAGCCTCATCCTCCAGCTCAACACCCTGGTGGTGGGTACTGGAGCCTCATCCTCCAGCACAACACCCTGGTGGTGGGTACTGGGGCCTCATAGCTCAACACCCTGGTGGTGGGTACTGGAGCCTCATCCTCCAGCACAACACCCTGGTGGTGGGTACTGGGGCCTCATCCTCCAGCTCAACACCCTGGTGGTGGGTACTGGAGCCTCATCCTCCAGCTCAACACCCTGGTGGTGGGTACTGGAAGCTTGAAGCCACAACAAAACATCGCCAAACCTGGGACCAGATTCACGAAGCAGTTACGCAAGCACTTACGAACCTGTCCATCTTTTCTCAATCTTTGGCAGCTTTGTTTACAATTATTAAACAGTCAATGAGCTCGGAAGCACCAGGAGGCTGTTTATAACAATAACAACAGTTGATTGGCAATTTTTCATGCTTGTAAACTGTTTAATAAATGTAACCAAAGCCGTCAAAGATTGAGGAAAGATGTACACGTTCGTAAGTACTTGCGTAACTGCTTCGTGAATCTGGCCCCTGCTCACTACGCGCCTAAGCTGCCACTTAGGATCCACGGCGACTGAGACCAACATAAACAGGACCCGCAGGGAACTAAATCATTATATAGGACTGACCAAGGTCAAAATACACCGGACCCACAGTGACCTAATGCAACACATAGAGGTGAGTACTCACTGGGGTTGCAGTCATAGGCGTTGATGCACTCTGAGGTACGGAACTGGTGGATTAGCGCTGTCTTGCCCACGCCTGTCGCCCCAAGGATCGCCATCCGGAAGCTGGTTGCCTCCTCCACCGACTCCGGCGTCGCCAGCTGCGGCAGACCGAGAGACAGCTGGTGAGAGGTGAGGGAGAGACAGACAGCTGGTGAGAGGTGAGGGAGAGACAGCTGGTGAGAGGGAGGGAGAGACAGCTGGTGAGAGGGAGGTGTCGGGAGTCCACCAGATACATGGAAGTACACAGAATTATATGGGAGCTCATTAGAGTACATGGAAACTCATGGGGGCATATATCAGAGTACATATAAGCACATGAGAGCACATATGAACACATGAGAGCACATATAAACACCTGACAGTACGTATCAACACATATATAATCAATATTTAAGTTTGCTTATGTTTCGAAATGAACTGATAAGGTATAATATCTTTTAGTAACATTCTACAATCAATTCTACTGAAACCTGGAATGTTATAAATAGAGGAGATGAGAAAGAACGATAAAGAAGGTAGATGGAAAGGGAAATGAGGAGGAGGAGGAAGAGGAGAGTGTTGGAGCCATCTGGCAAGCTCAGAGTGCCTCTACGCTAGTGCCTTGAGGCACTCTGGAGAGTGAAGAGGGGATAGGGAAGACAGAAGAGGGCGGAGTAAAATGGAGAAGGCAGAAGCAAGAAGGTACGATAAAGGGTGTAGATGGAGGTGGGGAAGGAAGGATAACATTGGAAGGAGTGAGTATAAGGTGAACAGAAGGAAGATAATAAGGAATGGAAGATAAGAGGGGGAAATGAAAAGAAGAAGGAGATATCATTAATATTATGGAGAGCAGTGCATACTTAAGACATGATTGTTCTGGTGTCATTCTTAAGATATGATTGTTCTGGTGTCATTCTTAAGATATGATTGTTCTGGTGTCATTCTTAAGATATGATTGTTCTGGTGTCATTCTTAAGACATGATTGTTCTGGTGTCATACTTAAGATATGATTGTTCTGGTGTCATTCTTAAGACATGAGTGTTCTGGTGTCATTCTTAAGACATGAGTGTTCTGGTGTCATTCTTAAGATATGAGTGTTCTGGTGTCATTTTTAAGACATGAGTGTTCTGGTGTCATTCTTAAGACATGAGTGTTCTGGTGTCATTCTTAAGATATGAGTGTTCTGGTGTCATTTTTAAGACATGATTGTTCTGGTGTCATTCTTAAGACATGATTGTTCTGGTGTCATTCTTAAGACATGATTGTTCTGGTGTCATTCTTAAGACATGATTGTTCTGGTGTCATTCTTAAGACATGAGTGTTCTGGTGTCATTCTTAAGACATGAGTGTTCTGGTGTCATTCTTAAGATATGAGTGTTCTGGTGTCATTCTTAAGACATGATTCTTCTGGTGTCATTCTTAAGACATGATTGTTCTAAGACATGAACACAATAATAAAACAAACTACAATCTCCAACAATCCCACAACATCTTTGAAGCTGTTCCCGCTATTCCTCACACATGCTACAGTAGTTGTGTAGTTAGTGATTCATAATTGATCTGGCTGTAAACCAGATCCGACCAAACCAAATTCATCAAACCTTTCCATCAAGGTCTACAAATCTCGGTCTTACTTCACAACTTGTAAAGTCGAACCGGAAGAGATAAGGCTTTGTGGCCCAACATGGCCGCTGGTGATTGGAGTGTTTACTTAGGGCAGTTTAGTTTTAAGTTTACACCAGCATATAGTCCTTGGCTCCTGCTGTATCTGTTGTATAAGCTGACTGTCCTGCTCCTGGGTCTTATCTCTGCTCCTGAGTCTTATCTCTGCTCCTGGGTCTTATCTCTGCTCCTGGTACTATCTCTTATCTCTGCTCCTGGGTCTTATCTCTGCTCCTGAGTCTTATCTCTGCTCCTGGGTCTTATCTCTGCTCCTGATACTATCTCTTATCTCTGCTCCTGGGTCTTATCTCTGACCTTGGGTCTTATCTCTGCTCCTGGGTCTTATCTCTGCTCCTGGTACTATCTCTTATCTCTGCTCCTGGGTCTTATCTCTGCTCCTGGGTCTTATCTCTGCTCCTGGGTCTTATCTCTGCTCCTGGGTCTTATATCTCCTCCTGGGTCTTATCTCTCCTCCTGGGTCTTATCTCTGCTGTAGGCTGGATCATTCTGTTCCTTTTAAACGTCTGAGAATTTTTGTCTTTGTTTCTCTTGCCAATTGACGATAAGTTGTCATTGTGGCTTTTTAACATTGTTTTGTTGTTTGTTTCCTCTCTTCCAGCCTCCGTCTCCCTCCCCTTCCTTTAATCCCCTTCCCTTGTCGCCCTCTCCCAAGATATCCCTTCCATCTTTCACCTCCGTCCCCATCTCCATCCATCTCTCTGTCTCCAACTTTAATTCTCTCCTCTATCCTCTCCCCCACATTAAGTATTTCTCCTACATTATCTCTCCGTGTCTCCGTGACCCTCAGTAACCCCTCTTCCTCCCTCCTTGCCCCCTTTTCCTCCCTCTCTACTCCTCCCTCTCGACCCCGGCCACACATGGCCTGCCATCCTCTCATCTCCGGGGACATCTTGGCCAGCATCTTCCGCTACGGAAACTTTCAAATGTTTTCTCTCCGTTCATTCTCCCTCAGTCTTTTACTGAGACATTCTCTCCATCTGTCTTTGAATTGTTGTTTATGTCTCTCTTTGTCTCTCTCTCTGTCTGTCTGTCTCTCTCTCTCTGTCTCTCTCTCTCTCTCTCTCTCTCTCTCTCTCTCTCTCTCTCTCTCTCTCTCTCTCTCTCTCTCTCTCTCTCTCTCTCTGTCTCTCTCTCTCTCTCTCTCTCTCTCTGTCTGTCTGTCTGTCTCTCTCTCTCTCTCTCTCTCTCTCTCTCTCTCTCTCTCTCTCTCTCTCTCTCTCTCTCTCTCTCTCTCTCTCCCTCCCTCCCTCATGTCTGGTGACCTCTTGGCTTGTGTTACATTATCTGCTCAAACATTAATAACCTGGCTGTGGGAATGGCCAGAATGTGTGGCAATTAAGGGCTGCGTGGAGAGAGACAGAGACAGACAGACAGACAGTGAGAAAAGACAGCCAAACACGAATGAGAAACAACACTAAACAGGATGCGTGGCGCCAGAAGCAGGAATTCCTGTTATTTTAATTATTCAGTCCAATCGTCGGCTAGTTTTTCCTCTCCCCCCCCCCCTCCTCCTCCTCCTCCTCCTCCCCTTCCACTGCCCCTCTTCCCTCCTCCTCCTCTCCCTCTGCTCCTTCTCCTCCTTTTCCATGCGTGATGTGGATGTGAACTGGAGGCACCTTCAACCCACACAGTAAGACGAGGAACCGGAGGAAGATGAGAAATAGAAGATGATGGACTGATAAACTTGAGGCCCAGTGAACAAATCCACAAGGGCCGTGAGGAGGATTCGAACCCGCGTCCGGGAGCATCCCAGACACTGCCTTAATCGACTGAGCTACGACAGGGTTAAAAGGGTTGAAACCGAAGCTCTACTGAACTTACTGGATCCCGTAGCCTCTTTGTGCCTCGGAGAGACTACGGGATCCAGTAAGTTCAGTAGAGCTTCGGTTTCAACCCTTTTAACCCTGTCGTAGCTCAGTCGATTAAGGCAGTGTCTGGGATGCTCCCGGACGCGGGTTCGAATCCTCGTCACGGCCCTTGTGGATTTGTTCATTTGATGCATCACGTTATTGTGATCTGTGTGTGTGTTGAGGCCCAGTGATGGAGCATAAGCTTGAGGCCAGCGCTGGAGCATCAGCTTGAGGCCAGCGCTGGAGCATAAGAACAAAGGAATCACGAGGCCTTTCGATCTCTTTAAACAATCCTCTCTCATTCTGTCTCACTCATACATCTGTTCTCCCAACCTTCCAGGTTCAGTGGAAGGTTTTACCCTGATTCGCGGACACAAAAAAGGCAGGCCATTGGCAATGCAGATGGTTGAACTTGCCCGCTCGAGGGAACGGTATAACTTCCTCATCAGGAAGTTGGGTCTTCACCTCCTCTCCCAGGACCCCTCATCTTTCCCAGCTCGAGAGGCTTAGCTCTCGTCCTCCGGCACTGCCAGTGTTCGCCAGTCCTCCAAGGATATTATGTTATGGAGAATTAATGGGGAGTTTGAGGAACTTTGGTGAAGGTTGAAGGTTGAAGTGAAGTGTGACCATTAACCTTGACCATTAAGTCTCCCAAATGGTGAGGAAGATGAGTCATAGCTACCGCAAGTCAAGACTAGATACTGAGTCAATGTCCACGATATGAAGTCATCAATTAATATTCAGACTCAGGGTGATGAGTTAATCCGTCGCTAAGTTTGGGCTTGTAATAAGAACAGGACTGAGCTCGACTCGAGTGGAGGATGAGTTTAAGTCGCTTGAGTCCCACCTCTGCGAAGGTCAGAGCCACGAAGGACTTTGTTAGGGGTGGAGTAAGAAGGGAAGGAGGAGGAGGAGGAGGAGGAGGAGGAGGAGGAGGAGGAGGAGGAGGAGGAGGAGGAGGAGGAGGAGGAGGAGGAGGAGGAGGGAGGGAAGAATCGGTGTAGAAGGTTGTCCAGAGAACCTTACATTAGTCTACAAAAGGCAGAGGTACTTCAGAACATAATAGTACCCGCCACGCTGCCCTGAGTACAACTTTGTAAAGTTTATAAACAACAAATAAAACTAAGAAACTCTGCGTTCAAAAACACAAGGAAGATGATAATAATGAAGTGGCTGTTAGAGACCAATTCTAGTAGGTGCAATGTGATGAAAGATTTTTAGGTGAGGGATAATGGAGGAGAAGCAATGGGCCTGGATCCTTCACACAGGTACGGCGTTCATTTTAATGAGTTTCATGCATCCTCACACACGTACGCACACGCACACGCACGCACACACACACACGTGTAAGGAATCGTTCAGGACCTTGTATACAACTTATATCAAACCGATCCTGGAGTATGCAGCTCCAGGATTGAATCAGCGGTATGCCATCAGACTAAAACTGAGAAGTATGAGCTACGAGGAAAGGCTAAGGGAGCTGAACCTCACGTCTCCTGGAAGACAGAAGAGTAAGGGGAGACATGATAACCACCTACAAAATTCTCAGGGGAATTGATCGGGTGGACAAAGACAAACTCTTTAGCACGGGTGGGACACGAACAAG